TACAAAGAATCTACTCCAAACTATATAACCAAAACCGTTTTCCTCAGAATGGTGTTTTTCAGAACGGTTTACACTCTCAAAGGAAGAGTTTTGAACATATCTAGTTCCAGTTTGGAGAGAACATTTTTACATGCCATTCTTTATAGCGCTATGGAAACTTTTTTTAATATTCCTATTTTTTTCTACGAAAAACTGTCGAAAAAAAGAGCCAAAATCGATACTTTTTTTCCAAACTACCGACATATTGTCCAATATCAAAAAAAGAACACTCTCCATAGCGTGATAGTGACTTTCCTACAGATTAATAATATTTTTGAAGGTTTTGTGGACATCGTAAAGGATTTTTTTACGTGTCATTTCAACAATTAATTTAACTACTATACATTCAATAAATAAACATAATAAAATCATATAGTATTCGCCACGAATGTATTTATTTATAAGAGAAAAAACCGGACCGATTAGATAATTTGAAGAAAATTCGCGAAAATCAGTGATTTTCGGGACGGTCGCACTGAGAGGATCCCTTAAGAGCTTACAACCCTAAAAAATTGTCTGCTGATCTACATACATACGTATATAGCTTTTAAATTCGTAAAATTTCGCATACAACACAAATATATATGTCATATATGTATATGTAAGTGTATATTTTTACTTTTTTTAATACGAAATTCTTGAAACAGTACATAAACATATCAAGCAGTTAATTAAAAACAAAAATATTTTTCTGGTTTGAGTACGAAGCGCGCAGCACAAGCCCCTCTCGGCTGTAAACATGTTTCACATTGCATTTTCATTAGATATACACAAATACAAGTATATAAATTTAATACATAGTTGCTATATTTATAACTGCTCTTATTATGAACACGCGATTTTAAACTATGGCGCAAGCAATTAGGACCAAGTTCAATATGAAGTCTGTGAAGTATGAGCGATATGCATGTATAGAGTACGGTTATACAAGCTTACACAAATATGAATACAGTTATTGAGCTTCACCACAAGTTATAAGATTTCGTCTTTTTAAGTGCAAAATGTTTGCGTATAATTATAAAATATAAAAATCCAATAAAGTTAGTTAAATCGCAAATATGTCAAATGCTATTCAACAACTGTACAATATTATTTATTGATTAGTATTATTATTATAAATAAAAACTATATATTTTT